CATTTCACCAAACTGATTTATTAACCACAGCTTTAACAGTTGAACCTAAAAATAACAACAAACAATAAATTTAAATAGTTTTGCTTCTATAATTAAAAAAATGAAAATCATAATAAACCTGGTAAAGAAGTGTAAATTTTATGTTGAACACAAGAGGGAGACAAACTGTAATCTGTGCAAAATCAGAAAATATTTTCTGCTGTTTTAACCGTTTTTTTTCATCAATAACTTTAATACTTTTGAAAATATTTAGCATTATTTGAAATAAATTCCTCTTTTAAAATAACTGATTTCTTCAAGTCACTTCTCTTTAATGAATTGGCTGTTTTTGTTTCTTTAGCTTTTAGCTGCCACTTTCCTACCTTTAGCTGCCGCTCTGGTAGTCCTAGCTTTTAGTTTAGCCACTTTTGCTACTTTGAGCACTTAGCTATCGGTTTGGTACTTTTAGCTTTTGGCTATAATTTTGAGCCTTTAGCTACAGTTTTCATCGTTTTAGCTACAACTTTTAGCTGCAGTTTTAGTTTAGCTTAATGATTTTTATTTGGCTACTTTGAACATTTAGCTATCAATTTGCCACTTTTAGCCTTTAACTATCATTTTTGCCTTTTTTTAGCTTCAGTTTAGCTAATTTTAGCTACCATTCTGTAATATTTAGCTCCTGTTCTGGTACTTTTAGCTTTTTGTTTCTATATGTTGTGTTCCAAAACAAGCTATAATTTAGCTTGTTTTGGCTTTTTTACTGCAGTTTTAATAATTTTAGCTTCTATTTTCCTGATTTTAGTTTTAGCATCTGTTTTGCTACTTTTAAGCTGCAAATTGTTAATCTTAAATATTTGATATGGTGAATTTTGCAGATGTGTAGTGAATTTTAGCTGATATAAGCTGCAGTTTTTGCTGATTTTTAGCATGTTATTCTAATTTAGCCACAGTTTTTAAACTTTTAGCTTTTATAAAGAAAGGTGCTGTTATCGTTGCACCACAGCTGAAACAGTCAAACGTTTTAACGTCTCGTTTTAACCGACTCTGCCGTGTCTGATGTTATTTATTTAAGCTGAGGCTTTTATTTTGAAGCCCTCGGTCCGTGTGGAGTTTGTGTTTGAGGTGACGGTCTGACAGCTCCTGAGGAAACCGTGAATGTAGGTCAGAATAAAAAAAGGTGAAGCCCGGTCTTCACAAGAACTGGAGCAGAAGAATCTGAAAGCACATCTGCAGACTGGATCCAGACTTTTATTTTTAGAGGTTTGTTGTTAACGGAGCTGATATTGAGCTGTAATTAAAGTTGAACTGACAGTAAGTGGTTCTAATTATGAGCTGTAAGAACGGTGAGATCAGGAGGAGGATCTCTTCCTAATCCTCCTCATTAGACGAGTCGGCGCTCGATGAGCCGAAGACACGTCAGCTGTGATGGAGAACAGCCGAAAACACGACTAAACTCCAGACCTGAGACAGTTTCACACAAATCAACAGTTTTAGACTCTTGTGACCTCATCGATTATTAATTTATTTATAAAAAACATTATTAAATCTAATAATCTCCACACTCTCTAAAAATCCATTTATTATTTATTAACACTTTTATATTTAGTTATAAAAGTGTTATAAATCTGTCATTACAAGTCATTGTTATGTGCAAGGCGATGACGTTATTGTGTGTATGTGTGTTAGCAAAATATCTCATGAACCATTGCAGATTTTAATAAAATGTGAAGAAAATAATATTTTGAACTCGGTTAAATTCATCATGGTTGCAGCTGATTAACAGTAAACACAAAGGAGACTATATATAATATAATAT